TATTTCAAGTAATGCAAATGAATCATCTGAGTAACAATCATCAGTTGTTGATGGTGGTCGCAACATCATAGAAGTCTAATGGTAAAAATAAGTGAATCCTCATTTGTTTGAAATTTTTGTTTGATATTTGTTGTATGATAACGATAAATTTGTTTGTTTATTTTTTTCCTCCCTTGTAGTTGTTGAAGTTTTGGCCATTATTAAAAATACTTTTGTTTGATCAGATGTACTCTGACCCAAATTTTGTAAAATGGGTAGGCAGGTAGGTAGATTTTTTTTTGGCAGTATCTAACAAATTGATTTTTTATCATACAAAAACACAGAATTAGAAATTTATTGATGTTTCATTACACACTGGAAAGCTAGACGGATTTAATATTTATTGCTCTCAATAAAACAAGTGTCTTGGAGAAATTATAAACCTCAACTTTATAATGAAAAAACTTCATTTCCCTGAAACCAAAAAAAAAGAAAGAAAAAAGAAAGAAAATTAAAATACTTAAAAAAATGATTGGGTAGGGGTGATTTTGATGGATCTTTTGGGGTACATCAAACAAATCATTCTTAGCTCACCTGATCCAATGGCTCAAGTGAGCTTTTCTGATCAAAATTTGTCTGTGGCCGTCATTGTCGTAAACTTTTCACATTTGAATCTTCTTCTCAAGAACCACTGGACCAATTTTACATTACAATACTGATACACAGGAAAGATCTTTAAAATTCTTCTCAAGACCAATATTGTCAAAATTGGTCATAATGATATAAAAGCATCCTGAAGTAATGTAGATCCAATTTATTCAAATAATGACACCCCCTCCCTCCCCAGGAGAATAAAGGGGCCATAACAGGGGATTATAGTTAAACAGTAAATCTCATTCAGTACGAACACGGAGATATAGCGAAGTTTTCTTGGAACCCCAGCTAAATAAATTTTACTAATCTTTATACGGATATAATGAATTACGGATATAGCGAAGTAATTTCACAGGTCCCTGTGACTTCGTTATAACTGAGTATTACTGTACATTGGGGAAATATCAATAAAAATTTTCTTCTTAAGAACAGCAATGCTAATATGTGTCATATCAATTCAAAAGCATCCTTAGAAAGTGTAGAATTCATACCCCCCCCCCCCCCTTCCGAACCACTTTTATATTTAAACTTTTTAATACTGAACTGATTTATGCTTTTTTCCTACCCAAAGTGCATAAGTGAGCAATGTGGCCCCTGGGACTTTTGTTTATTGTTGGTCTTATAAGTGAAATCAGAATGCAAAAGTAACTGTTCATAATATATTCTTTCAGAGAGAAGAAAACTGACATTAAAGGAGAACCAGTAAATAAAGATGTATGATGAATCAAGATGTGATCATGTGGTAAGTGGGAATTAATTCAATCATAAATAGGTATGTATGACAATTGCATTGAAAGAAAAGAACTTGATTCCAATTTTAATTGGAATGTTGAACTACCAGCTGCAAACTACAACAGGTTAGGCATAATAAAAAAATATGTTTGTTTACGGTTACCCAACCAACCCTATATCTAATAGCCAAACCAAATTTTTTTTTCGTCATAAAAATCCAGAAGCCACTCATTCGTCGGTTTAAATTTTACATGCATCTTAATCGGTCAAGCATTTGAAATTGAAAGTACTAGAAACAGTTAGTGCAACATGGAATTAAAGAAGAAATACAAGACAGTTTTTTCATTGTGTGGTAGCTGTAAGGCAGTTGGCAAGAAAGATATTGTCTATCGCCCATATGGCAAGCCCAAACAAAAGTAAAGCACCACACAATGGTAAAACTGTTTTGTATTTCTACCAATTCCTGTGAATTTGTGTATAAAAAAATTCAATAAAATGAAAAGAAATCCTACCGACCGACCCTATTTTATTTCAGCATGTAACAGTAAACAAACATATTTTTTTGATCAGCCTTATGAAATAGTAAGGCTTGGAGTCTTTTTCACTTCTCTATAAAATTTTCTGTCTGGATGATATCTAGTATAATATACACCATGCAGTGAGGATTTTAGTTCACCCGAGCTAAAAACTCAAGTGAACTTTTCTGATCACTTTTTGTTTTGTCTTTTGTCCATCAAACTGTCTATCCATCTGTGAGCTTTTCACATTTTCAACTTCTTCTCAAGAACCACAAATTTTAACCAAGGTTGACACAAAGTAAGGATATTTTAAATTGTACAGAGGAAGCCCCCCCCCCCCTTTCACCTCAAGGGGAAATCATCAACTCTTTTAGATATTATTGATATGATCAATGTTGAGCAACTTATACAAAAATAATGAATATTTGTTTAAGAGTCCTTTTGTTAAGGTTCAAAGTTCAATTGAAATTATTTTGAGATACATGTATTTGAGGATTCGAGATATCAGGAGTAAAATATTTAAAGAATACTTCCAAATTACTTTGACATCTCTATGGAATTCGAGATGTCTGTGTTCGAGATGCCAAAGTTCAACTGTATGGCTATGCTAAAGTAGTAAATATTATAACTTACTAAAAATTTCTAACATTGAAACATGTTAAATGAAACAAGACAGTTATGAAAAGTAAAAATTTACTGATTTCTGGCTGGTCAGTATTTTGATGACTGTAATTTCTAAAATATTCAATGAAACACTTTGAAGCTTTAACTCTAGGTATATGTAACTAAATATACTATAAGGTAATATTTATAAATGAGAAGTTTTGAACAAACATTACAACATGCATGTATGTAAACTGGGGGTAAAAATTGGTTAATGGCTAGCGTCTCAATTTTCAGTGACATAAACAAGATTTAGAATGTAGGTAAATAATAATAGTATGTGTCTGTACATATGATATAGCATATAGAACTTGTACTGAATGTTGATTAGCTAAATCTTACATGGCTGATCTGTTGGTTGTTTTTGATGAAATTTAGATTATTTGTATGTAAACTGAGTGTACATGCAATATGAAATTATTCATAAGGTATTAAACATGATTAAAGCATGTGTATGCAATGCAACATATGATGAATTCATATTGACTTGTATGGATATAGCTTAACATGTATGTACATTGTTTTTTTAGGGTCCTGTTCTGCAGATGCCATGAGATGATCTGTCTGTCCATCTGATATCACTTGTCCTGAGTATATTTTCTCTCCTCTTAGCCCAATCTCACTCAAATTTAACTCATAGAGTGCCTGTGGATGGAGGGTAAAAAGTGACCTTGGACCAATTATCTAGGTCAAAGGTCAGTATCAAAATACACTATATATCTTTATTTAAAGTCCTTGTCCAGAGCATAATTTTTCTCCCTTGGTATGATCTGGCTTGTGTGCCATGAGATGAAGGGTTTTTAGTGATCTTTAACAAAATTTCTAGGTCAAATGTCAATTAATAAGAAAAAAAAAGATTCGCAATATCCTTGTCCAGAGCACATTTCTCTCCAATTCACTCAACTAAAAGCAGTGTTCTACATGTATGAGATGGTCATATTCTCAATCATACCTGCTTTAATATTAATCTGGCTTAAAACCTTACTATGTAATGTTCATTATTTGGATGTCATGGTCATTAAATTTAAAGACTGAAACTAATCACTGATATTGGTACATTAAAGGACATTGAGTGATCTTGTCAGATTTCTAAATAATATTCAAGCATACAACTCTTACATCAAATAATAATTTTGTATGAAAATATATTGCAGATCGCAGATGATGTGAAGAAAACACAAAGGAAGTTGATGTTGAAAGAAGTATAGAGTATTTAATGAAGTTTATGAATGGACTTAGATGTGAAAGACTACTTCATTGTTTACCAAGATATATGATTTTATTTATTTTGATATCTTTTTGAAATAATATTTTTGCACATCAAATGAATTATTAAACATATGATTTGATAATGCTTTTTCCTTCTTATACATTTTCTTGATAGATTTTGAAAAGAAAACACAGTTTACCTAGGAAATTAATAATATATATTTTGATTTAAACCTACTGTTCTCTTTTCACATTCTAGACAAGAAAGATTAACCATGGAAAATACAGGGATCCTTGAGCTTCCAGTTGCTTGTCAATCATTTTTCGAAATCGAAATGCTCAACCTACCCTGTAGTTTCCATGGATAGTTTCCATGAAACTATTACACCACAATTACACATTGCTTCCCATCTCAGAAAAATAAGGGAATCTTAAAGATTCCCTGTAAATTCCTTTTATGAGACACCAGATAATTCCCCCAAGTTTCCATCACACGGAAACGGCTATGCTCCGATTCCATGTAGTTTCCTGAGTCATGGAAACTTGAGGAATCATGAGGTTTCCTCTAGTTTCCGTTCATGGGAAATCTGAGGATTCCATCAAGTTTCCATTCCATGGAAACCACTACGCTCCGATTCCATATAGTTTCCTAATTATGGAAACCAGTGGAATCTTCGGGTTTCCCATTACAGGAAACTACATGGTGGCCAGGGAAACTTCAGGTTTCCTGAGGTTTCCGTGGTTCGGGATACCTAATGGAATCGGAGCGTAGTAGTTTCCGTGGTACGGAAACTTAAGGGAATAACCTAGCATCCGCTGCGGAAACCACTAGGAAACATGATGTAAACTTGAAGTTTCCATGTGGTTTCCATATAGTTTCCCATGACGGGAAACTGCTTATTTCACCCAGTGAAAACTTTCCTTTTTTTATTGAATTAAAAGTTTTTGAGATCAATTATGGCCATCGTTTTAGTTCAGAGACAATCGAACACATCGGTATTAGCTATACACATGAACGTGTCAAATAAAAAAAAAATATGGTAGAAAGTTTTCTCTTGTTACTTTTAAAATACCTTTTAAATTCCTGTGAAGTTGTTAAATGTTAGATAATTTAATTACTCTACCGCATTTAAGAATACTTAATACATAATCTTTAAAAATAGAATTTAATCGATTAACTGGTCATGAAAGTGGCTTTAATCATAAGAAATATTGATAATTGTTTTCGTCAATAGACTTTTTTTTCTTTAAACGGTCACTATTTACTTAAGTAATTAGATCAATAAATTAAAACTCAAAGCAATCATTAGAAGTTAAAATGAATACTGAACACAATCGATCGTTTTGTTTAAAAGAAATATTGCTGTAACATTTCTTTTGGGCTACAGTTTTCATATTTAGAGAGAAGCCTACATTTCATTCTGATATCAAGATGGAAGACGACTTCTTTTTGACCGGACGAGAGGGAACGCCCTTTAGTATGGCATCCCCTATGGGGATGGAGGGAGGGCTTATAAAGTAAGTAATAAACTATCTTAATGAGTAATATAAAATCAAACTTTTGAAAATAAATTAACCAACTTAAAGATTATTTATCATCTGACAAGGACCCGATACCATAAACTGAGAATAGACACAAGTCCAAATGTTGATTTTAAATATTCTGAGTTTTATTTAAAATATCTGCTAAAAAATTACAGGTTTTTTTATCATTTATGATATTCTTTATACATATGATAAAAATTTAGTTTCATTATTAAATTAAATTACTTCAAAAGTTATATTGATTTGAAGCTTTGACTTCATTCTGTTCTCGGTTGATGGTCTATGGGCCTAAATGAATGCCTCTCGATTGTCTTCCTGTCAAAAATAAATATATATGGATTATCATTATCAATCCAATTCAATATGCAGATATGTAAAAACTGACATTTTTTAACTATTTTTTTTTATATACTCTTATTTCCAACTTTTGGCCTAATAAACATAAAGATTAAATAAATGCTGAAACATATTAGTAACGTGAGGTAAATTGTTAACAGTGGACACACCGATACCCAGTATAACTTTTTAGTACCTTTGGACAAGGCGTACGAATGCCCCATCTGTTGGAATGTGCTTCGTCACCCAGTGCTTTTGGAGAAGTGTGGACATAGATGCTGTGCTTCTTGCCTACCGGAAATTATGAGGTAATTCTGATATACATTTACAGAACATTTCAAACCGTATGTACATGTAAAGAAATTAGAAATTCATAATATATTAAATTGCAATAGCTTCGTTGTGTACCAAGTATTTAGTAATTGTGTTCTGTTTTGGATAAACCAGTAAAAAATAACCCTGAATGTTATTCTACAGAGGCGGAGGTAAATGTCCTTTGGATGAAAAGCCCATAGATAGAGACAGAGACGTAAGATTTTTCAAATGGTCATCAAACTAATCTAGTTAATTCAGCTTTGTGAAAATATATCTGTAGTTTTAATCTACATCAAGGATTCTTCTTTTTTTCTAGGTCATTCCAGACCACGAATTCCAGAAGGAAATCGGTCAACTTCAGTTGAAATGTTCTTATGTGGATAAGGGATGTACTTGGTATGGGCAGATGAAAGACATAAAGGTGAATTAAAGTTATAAAAGTTAATCATATTTTACGTTTGATAAGGATTAATACTTCATGAGATTGTATTGAGAATAAACTTTAAAAAATATCTGAGAGTCAATTATCGTCAGCTTACTTTACATACACGTGTATTACGGTTTGGTTTGTGAACAGCAGTATTTTTCATGCACACTAGCTTACTGTAGGTATGTCAGTACATACTTCTCTTAATAGAGGTATGAAAGAACAGTTTAAAAAACAGGTTTTTGTTCTCTTTTTAACTAACCTACTCCAATGTTTATCAGAAAAAAATGCCATATTACTGTGATTCAAAGAAAATTTAATTGAAGAACACATTTTTCACTGTTTCCCGTTTCATCATGTATTTATAAAATCACCCCAATATGAATCGTGTGTCAGTGAACAAGATTTTACATCAATTAAGTATACCATTATTTTTTTTTAATAGGCCCATTTAGAGGATTGTAAGTACGTTGTAGTATCGTGTCCCAAGCGATGTGGACTGGAGCTGGAAAAAGCAAAGCTAAGGAGGCATTTACAGGACGAGTGTCCAAAGAGAGAGATCAGTTGTGATTTTTGCAGCATGCCTATTCCATTTGATCAAGAGGAAGCACATCTACAAGTCTGTGGCAGATTCCTGATACCCTGCCCAAATGACTGTAAGAAAGGAGAAATTCCAAGAGAGGAGGTAAAACTTTCTTCAACGTTTTTATAAAACAGCAAGAACCATAAAAAAAAACCCAAGATTTAAAATCGCTCTTAAAATTTATTTTTCTTTCTTTTTTCTCGTCGGTTATGACTTAGCAACAGCATGTTTAAATTTGGATTTTTATTTTTCTTTTAAAAAAATTAAGTATTTTAAACATAATGAATATTTTTGATGTGTCTAGATGCAAGATCATTTGGAAAACAAATGCCCACAGCAGCAAGTACCTTGTCCATTCCACGACGCAGGGTGTGACTTCATGGTGGGAATTCTATATTTGTTTTTACCCTTAATTTACACTTAAAAGATATCTTTTTTTTTGGAAAGCAAACCATTTGCATATTAGTATCTTGTACAAACTCTCTTTTGTCTGTAGTTTTTAACAAGAACGTGTAGCTAAAATCTAATAAAATAAGCTAATCAAATTAATGTCAAAGTGGAAGTACATGTAATAAACTAGAAAGAATGACGTTGTTTAACAGAGTAAGAGAAAACATTTACACAAGCACATCAAGGACGACCCGATCCAGCACTTGGCAATGGCTTGTGATATCATCATAAAACATTCAAAGACTCTAGAGGAAAACGAAAAACGGCTTACAAAACATACAGAAAATATACAGGTAAAATTTTTTAAAAAATCAGGTAATACACTAAAAAGATAGATCGCATTTTGAATTTAGTCTTTAAAATGTCCCCTAATATCAGTTTGTTTTTTTTTTTAAAATAAAAAATATAAATTTGAAAGTTATTTTTCAAAGATTAAAAACAGAAATATGTAGCATAATGAAGTATAATGCATTCTCGTGCTCTTTTCCTACGCCATGATTTTTTTTATCTCATTAAAATAATATAACAGTGTTATTATTAATTTAAGGAGGCCGAGTCTAATTATTTCTACCCTAGATATTTTGATAAATTTTCTTGAATGAATTTTTACTTTAATATTAATTATTTTAAGATTAAAAAATCAAATGTTTACCATTCCGATTTTTTGGGGGGCCATCTCAAAAGTTGTAAAATTTTGCTATTAGACCCTATGGGAATTTGTCGGAGAAGCGCCAAATTATCATATTTTTGCATTTTTGCCTTAGGGATTTCCTTTTCAGTCATGAAAGTTATTGTAAAAAGTCACCAAATCGTGAAATTTCAAAAAAAGTTGACCATCTGGTTTGGTCTGGGAATTATTACAAAGTTTTTTTTCCAATGCCCAATACATGTACTTCTAAATTTACCACATTGCGGCTTACATTTTGTATATAACGGTACAGTTAAATTATTTTGGTAAAAAATAACAATGTTAAGATTGCTGGTATGTTTCTTTTGATGTTATGTCAACAGTTTTTAATAAAATGTCCATGGACGTCTTGAAAACTCAAGCGAGTCATTCTTCAGCGTTATGCATTTCTTAGAGAACCGGAAAACAATGACGTCGTGAAAGCCATTTCAGTGTTTATTCCTAATTATTGTCTTAAAATTACATTTTAAGTCCCATAAACGTTACAGATAATGTAATATAATGTTAATTTTGTGTCAAAATTACAACACTTAGGATAAGTGTTATGTAGCACCGAAGAATGCATGAAACTAAAAAGCTGCGCAAAGTCATGCGCACTCGAACTAGACTCGGCCTCTTTAAATACAATTTGAAATCAAAGTTTTCCTTATGACATTATGTTTAGACATTTTTTTTTAAATTAAACACCGCTTTATAAATTACACAATTTGTCATTGGAATCTAATGCTATTGTTGTTGATAAAAATCAGTGTTGGGTTCTTTTTGGGTGAAATTTATCAGAGGGTCATTACCCTTTAAATTTAATTAAGGTATTCATTGATCATATAAAAAAATTTCTATGCATAGACAATGGAAAAAAAAGTCAGTACCCTGGAAAAACTGTATGGCTGTCAGTTGGTGTGGAAGATAGAGAAATGGGGAAACAAAATGGAAGAGGCGAAACTGGGGAGAAGAACGACTATTTTCAGTCCACCATTTCTGACTGCTAGGCACGGCTACAAAATGGCGATGTCAATATGTCCATATGGTGATGGAAGAGGTAACATAATTATAAATTATGATTATGTAAATTATATGACATTCAGGTATTAACTGACTTCATAGAATTACAATTAATAAAATAATTTATGACTTATACATGTAACTACAGATGAAACGTATATATTCCTATTCATTACTTAGGAATAATACAGGTTTTTTATATGCGATATGCCAGATGTCAGAATAACAAAACCCTTTTAGATTAAACCTTTAAAAAAACAGTACTTGTGTTAATTCGCCATTTTTTCTTTTACATTCACTGTAAAAAAATGAATTTAATTTTATATTATGTTATAGTTATAGTATGTTAATACTAAGAAAGAAATAAACATAATATACTATTTTCAATATCACATCCTGTGTCAGCCCTCAACCAATATCAGCCTTCGTCCCTTTGGCTAATATTGGTGAGGGTGTGGTATGGAAAAGGGTGTGTATTATTCTCTATGAATATTTTCTATAAACTTCTCTTATCTGTTTCTAGCAAGAGGGCGGTTTCTTTCCATCTTCATATGCATCTGTAAAGGCGAGTACGACGCACTATTAACTTGGCCATTCTGTCATCGTATTTACTTCACTCTCGTGGATCAGTGCCAGGATCCTGCTGCTCGACGTAACGTGACGTATACCATCAAACCGAACACCATCAAAGATAACAAAGCGTTTCTGGGGCGACCAATCGGAGAGAGGAACGCCAGCTTTGGCGCGCAGAAGTTTGTAGAACTGGATGTTTTGAAAGAAATGGACTACATTAGAGATGATTGTGTGTTTATAAAATGCACAATTGATAGCGACGAAATGGTTCTTTTGTAAGCAGGTTACAGAAAGGAATTTCAAGTTGAGATGAAATTTAAATTTAATATTTGTTCTTTGTTTGAACATTCTACGCAATGATCCTTGCTGTGAGAAATGCCAATCGATTTTATATTGTATCAAATTTGTAAATGAAGGCTTGCAAAGTCATCCGATCTTAATGTTAATATTCGTATTGATGGACACAATTTTATTATTTCTTTAGATTCTCTGATATAGTGTTATATAGATATAGTGTAAGAACTGTGTAATTTATAAATTTATGTACATAATAAATGTATTAAAGCTAAATTGTATTTTTTTTTTCACTTGCAGTATGAGAACAGAATTTTTACATCTGGAGCACGGTCACTCATTTATGTTTTACCTTTTTTTATCACATAACCAAGTTTATTTATTTAATTGATCAACTAAAATTACTGTCACAAACTTATTTAGTTTGAAATCTTCCTATTAATTAATCTCTTAGAATTATATGGCTAACGAAATTGTGTTTTTATTTAACTTTACATAACACATATCTGTTACAACGCCAATCTAATTTTGTTCATTTGCGTCCACGACACGTAGAGTCATTGGCATTCAATGCAGACAGGTTGTGATGGAACATTGGAGAGAAACAATCTTGTGTGTGAGGGTGTGTGTGAATCAATCTTTTTTTTTTAAATTACTGTCAATATCACTTGGCAGAACCCATTGAATATTAATCAAAATGATAAAAGGTGTAAAAGGTGTATTTCATTTAAATTTTTCAATAGACTGGGATCGAGTTTACAATGCAGAGAGAATTATGACAGTGTACGATTCTACCATCAATTCCTTATTTTAGTTAAATCCTAAAAGAAAATAAATAAAAATTTTTAAAAATCAGCCAGAACCAACACCCAAGGATGGATTAGGTTACTTCTTATGCACTTACTGCATACATTTACGAGGGATATCCATAAATTTCGTGGACAATGACGTATTTGTCAAACTGAATGGTCCTAGATATATTGATGTATATCACAATATTTGTTACGAAAATTCAAGTCAGATAGTGTGGTTTTGCTTGTCTGAACTTATTTTATTTTATTTTTTTAAAATAGCGTTCTTCGAAGTCGCAGATTGTGCGCACGACCCATGGTTAAAATGCCATAAAATTTTTAAATAAAGTTTTCGAATTTAAATGAATCGCAAATAAAGCGGCTTTCTGATATCTTTAGTATCGCTTATTTGACAGATGGTGAAAATATTAAGAAAAATCTGCAAGAAATATGTTTCAAACAAGATGTGTTTGTGAAACACTGATGCCCCCGTATGCATGGCAGCTTATGGCGAAGGTTAAAGTTTCTCAAATGCAAGTCAAAATCCAGACCAAAAGATAAAAAATGTTAAATTTGAAAGCCCTAGCTGCAATTGTTCAAAAGTTATGGTGAAGGTTAAAGTTTTTTAAAAGTAAGTAAAACATCAAGGTCAAGGTCAAAATTGTTGGTATCCAAAGGAGGGTCTTGTCACAAGGATTACATATGTAAAGTATGAAAGCCCTAGCACCAACCATTCAAAAGTTATGGCCAAGGTTAAAGTTTTTCGAAAGTAGGTCGAACTATGTCAAGGTCAAAGGGTCAAAGTGGTTTGTATCCATAGGAAGGTCTTGTCACAAGGATTACATGTGTGAAGTATGAAAGCCCTAGCACCAACCATTCAAAAGTTATGGCCAAGGTTAAAGTTTTTCAAAAGTAGGTCAAACTCCTATATCAATGTCAAAGGGTCAAAGTGGTATCCAAAGGAAGGTCTTGTCACAAGGATTACATATGTGAAGTATGAAAGCCCTAGCTCTAACCGTTCAAAAGTTATGGCCAAGGTTAAAGGTTTTTCAAAAGTAGATCAAACTCCTAGGTCAAGGTCAAAGGGTCAAAGAGGTTGATATCCAGAGAAAGGTCTTGTCACAAGGAATACACATGTGAAGTTTGAAACCCCAAGCACCAACTGTTCAAAAGTTATGGCCAAGGTTAAAGTTTTTCAAAAGTAGGTCAAACTCCAAGGTCAAGGTCAAAGTTGTTGGTAAAAATTGTATAAATTTAATAATGAACTTCATGTGTATAAAAGAAGATGGATAAACTGGAACCAGATATTTGAAAACATAAACATTTAGATAAATTTATGTCATCTACATTATTATTTTAGTATATCTTGTGTATTCATATTTTTTTTTATATTTCATGTTCATTCCTAAAAATCTGTATGTAAGCTTTCCAGCCGTGGTGTGTCTGTGTTTGTGTATGTGTATTTATGTCTAAAGTCAGTCAATAAAAAAAAAAGTTGTTGGTATCCAAAGATAGGCCTAGTCACAAAGAATACACATGTGAAGTTTTAAACCCCAAGCACCAACTGTTCAGAAGTTATGGCCAAGGTTAAAGTCTCATAAAATTTTGCAAAAGTGGGTCAAACTCCAAGGTCAAGGTCAAAAGGTCAAATATGATGGTACCCAAGGAAAGGTCTTGTTATAAGGAATACACATGTGAAATATGAAAGTCATAGCTCCAACCAATCAAACGTTATGGGCAAGGTTAAAGTTGACAACAGACAGACAGACAAACAGACAGACAGGACAAAAACAATATACCCCCGGGATCTTTTGATCCGGGGGCAAAAAAGTGACAAAAAAGCGGCGCCGTCCATCCAAACAAAGTACAACCATAAAATTATGTTTTAATACGGTTGAATCGACCTCAGAGGAAAAAAAAGATTATTCAAACTGGACTTTATTGGAAAAATATTTAGTTCATTGATTGAATTAATTTAAACGAATTTTTGGAGGTGTGTTCAATTTGGGAGACACTAAAAGAAGTGGATACCACTGTTATTTGATGAAAAAGATAGGATACCCCTATTCATTACCTTGTTAAAAATCTAACGCAAGTCGGAATGGGCTGTGTAGACTACGTATGCGAAGTGTTTATACTGATTATCGTGTACTGTTTTGAAATTTAAAATTTTACTCAATTATGGTCTATATATATGAATATTATCGTAAATAATTGGCAGTGTGGTATAATAAAGAAAAAATAGCGTGTGTCCACGAACATGTGATAAAAATTTTAAATCCATACTTTGACTTTATCATGAAACTAGCTTTACGTCAGACTGGGCCGTGAGGCTTGTATGTACCAAGTATTCAACTATGATATACGTAAAATAGTGTGTGTTATGGAACGCCATAGCTGCCTGAAGGTCATTTTCATTTTATATGAGGTGGTATAACCTTTATGTGAAGTGGTTAAGTCATTATATATAGTGGTAAAATCATTATATTCAATGAAAACTTTATTATATGCAGTGGTTTTATCTTTATATACAGTGATAAAATCATTATATACAGTGATAAAATCATTATATTCATTGATGACTTTATTATATGCAGTGGTTTTATCATTATATTCAGTGGCAATGTCATTATATGTAGTGGTTAAATAATGTAATGAAGTGATAGTACCGTTACATTATGCTGTAAAATCATTATATGCAGTGGTTTTTCCATTATATACATTACTGATATCTTTCTGTGATGTGATAAATTCAATATATACAGTACAAACATAATTTGTGTGATAAAGCAATCATTACATTGTATGAAACCCGCTGCATGTGGAGTGCCAAGTTAATTTCATTCAGTGCGACACCTTTACATGAAGTGAAAAATCTATTATGTGCAGTACTAAGATCATTATATTATATAGTAAAATTATTATATATATTCCTAAAATCATACTTTGCAGTGGTAACATCTTTATATGAGGTGGTTAATTAATTATATGATGTTGTTAATTTGTTATATGATGTGCTCAAATCTTTATATGCATTAGACGTTTCATGTTATGCAGTGGTAACTTCTTTATCATCATCTAAACTGGTCCTTTTATTTAAAAAAAATGCGCGGAGTTCCAGTTTAAAGAGTGTTTGAAAATAGGAAACCCGGGCCGTGGCAAATTAAAAGCCGGGACTATTCGAGATTTTTCTAATTTCTGATTCTATTATACAGCTTCCTGATTTTATCAACTGTGCTGAAATTTTAAGACTCATTTTTATAGGTTAATGTGTATTCGCTGTAAAAATTGCATTTAATTTTAAAATACTTAGTAATTTAGTTTTTCTTGGCGATTGTTGATTTCCAAGTTCAGTGGTGGATCCAGGAATCTTGAAAAGGGGGGCCCGACAAGTTTTTGGTCGGGGTAGGTAGCCCACAGCCAAACCAAAAAACAATTGATTATTAAATCTTATGTATATTTTGAACACAAGGGGGGGGGGGGGCATAGGCCCTCTCTGAATCCGCCCGTGAGGTTGGTAAATCGGGTAGGCAATCAAGCAGACATTTTACGTGTTTTGTTTGTTTGTTTGTTGTTCTTTGTTTGTTTGTTGTTTTTTTTTTTTTTTTTTTGCCATATTTGACAGAAAGCTTATAAGCTTTTAAATTATTCTGATGTTAAAAATTATTCATTCTTTGAAAGGCATTTTTTGAGTGAAATGACACGTTTAAGAAAAACCGGTTCACATAGGCGTCGGAACCGGGGGGGGGGGCTATTGCCCCCCTCTTTTTTTTTTTTACAAAGGTAGACATAATATAGGCATTGAAAATTCGGGCGTAGGTCTAGCCTCCCCCCCCCCTCCCCACTTTCTACAGGCACGATTCATTGTAGTGAAAGAAGGGTAATTGGTAGTGTTTAAAAGAATTTGGTACTGAAAGATGTTCGACCAATCCCCCCCCCATCCACCCACCCACCCACACCCCCGAAATAGGATTTTCGGGTTTGGAGAAAGAACAATTTTTTGCTTGTCAAGTTTTTTTTCAGGTTTGATTTTTTTTTCTATTTCAATTAGCCACCCCACTATCAATTTCCTTCCGACGCCAATGGTTCATTAAAATCGGATTTGATCTCCCGGAAGTCAAACATAAAAAATCCGAAATACTTATTCATTATCTACATGCCATTTGATAAAATATGAATTAATTAAAGAATTATCACATATACATGTAATTATAGGACTATTAATGCAAAGCCTTGTGTCAAACTTTAATCACGCGTAAGTTGCTTGGTTTTAGGATATCCGATCCTCAGCCTTGAAGGATAACTCTTAATTTTATCATTTTATTCAAAAAGGCTAAAATGATTTTAATTTGGTTGTTTGTTTGCTGTTTAACGTCCCTCTCGAGAATTTTTCACTCATATGGAGACGCCACAATTTGCCAGTGGAGAGCTGCAAATTTTGTCCTATACTCGACACTTACGGCCATTGAGCAGTGAGGGATTTTTTTCGTGCCAACACCTACTGTGGAACGGGACCTCGGTTTATGGCTTTATGCGGTCTCTTACGAAGGAGCGGTCTCAACGTCCCACTGTCGGATTCGAACCCGTGACGTAAGGATTGACTCCTTATTCCGCGTCTCTTAGAGCAGACACTCTAATCACCGTGCCACGTTGGCGACGGCAAAGATGAAACTTGAAAATGAAATGTTTTCATGCAGCAATTTTTATTTTAAGCATTTCAATGTGATTTAACTTTTAAGGTTTTCTGAAGTCTTAGAAACAGTCTTATAAATAGTTGATATTAGTAATTTAACACCCCCACCCCCGGCCCCCACCCCGAAAAAAGTATTTAACAAATTACATATTTAACGTAATCCAGTTTCTTTCCATCCACTAACAAATAGATACATGTACCAGTGCACATTTGCATATTATGAAATTAGAAATGATTTATGGTGTTTTGCACCAGGTTCTTCCCGGATGATCGGATCTGGTTTAATAATCCCTTTTTTAATGAAAATGTATATTTTGCATAAAAATAGCATTTTCAAATAAAGAAATAACTATCAAAAAGAAAAAGTTTTTTTTAGTTAAAATACAGTGTTTAACATCGGAATAATTTTTAAGTTTATTAGATTTTTATCAAATATGTCAAAAAAAAAAAAAACAAAAAACAAAAAAAAAAACAAAAAAACCACACACACATAAAATATCGCCAACCCGGTCTACCCATTTTACCAACATGGAAATCAACAATCGTCAAAAAAAAATCTAAAATACTAAGTACTTATAGCACAATGGATAAAATATTAAATCAGAAAATTGAAACTGCCTACCAATTTTACTTGAAACCAAAAATCGTCAAGAAAATCTAAAATACCAAGTGTTTAAATACAATTTTTACAGCGAAAACACATTAGCCTAAAAAAAGAGTCTAAAAATTTTAAATCAAAAATTTGAAAAATCTCGAATAGTCCCGGCTTTTAATTTGCCACGGCCCGGGTTTCCTATTTTCAAACACTCTTTAAACTGGAACTCCGCGCATTTTTTTTAAATAAAAGGACCAGTTTAGATGATGATAAAGAAGTTACCACTGCATAACATGAAACGACTAATGCATAAAAAGAATTGACCACATCATATAACAAATTAACAACATCATATAATTAATTAACCACCTCATATAAAGATGTTACCACTGCAAAGTATGATTTTAGGAATATATATAATAATTTTACTATATAATATAATGATCTTAGTACTGCACATAATAGATTTTTCACTTCATGTAAAGGTGTCGCACTGAATGAAATTAACTTGGCACTCCACATGCAGCGGGTTTCATACAATGTAATGATTGCTTTATCACACAAATTATGTTTGTACTGTATATATTGAATTTATCACATCACAGAAAGATATCAGTAATGTATATAATGGAAAAACCACTGCATATAATGATTTTACAGCATAATGTAACGGTACTATCACTTCATTACATTATTTAACCACTACATATAATGACATTGCCACTGAATATAATGATAAAACCACTGCATATAATAAAGTCATCAATGAATATAATGATTTTATCACTGTATATAATGATTTTATCACTGTATATAAAGATAAAACCACTGCATATAATAAAGTTTTCATTGAATATAATGATTTTACCACTATATATAATGACTTAACCACTTCACATAAAGGTTATACCACCTCATATAAAATGAAAATGACCTTCAGGCAGCTATGGCGTTCCATATGTGTTGTTTTAATTTTTTTACATTTACTAAAGCATGCTCTATATTAAATCATCGTACACGTTCGGCAGTGTTAACGAACTTTATAGAAAACCCTCGTATATGTCTAATGTGAATTGGACATCATTACATAAATTGTATTTTATTACCCCATTATCAATTCTGGACAAATACTTGTACATGTATGTGCAATTTTAAATTACATGTACCTCTTTCATCCTTGGACATACTTCAAAGCTTTATCTCTAGATTTTTTCGTTATAACAAAACAAGATTACTTGTGGATGTTTCTACACGTTCTTCGCTCATGAAGGAAAATAAATGTGTTTATATACGAGTACATGTATTTATATTTTTAATGGAGGGGGCGATAGTTAAGTTATAGCCAAGCATATCAACACAAAGTTACAGCAAAAATCCTATTATCACCCGTCTCTCCAATTGCGTTAAATTGCAATCATATATCTATATGTTTAGTAAGTTTAGTATTTTGCTTAAGTTTACGATAAATATCGGTTTTAAATAGGCAATCATGTCATGGCCTATTTAATGCTATCACGCGCCCTTGTAGCGATACTATAAATAAACTGTATCTGGTTTACACATTTTATAAAATTGAAAGGGAAAACCCTGAATTTTCTATATTTGTTTAGGTTTTGTTAGAAATACTATTGCTGTATTAAAAAGAATTCATACATTATCCTTTACAGTGAGGGGACATGGCTCATCCTGGTACGTAGTAAATGTTTTGTTATAATATACATTTTCCTTATATTGAAAGAGTGAAACGTGTTTGTTTAATCTGGGACATGCATGTGATTAAGAAAAATAATTTTGAATGAAATCGATGCTTTAAGCCATTTGTTAGGAAAAATAATGATTGAATTTTAAAGTTATGTTTTATGTCATTGATATTTCAGTAAAACTTCTTACGTCTTTATAAATAAGAAGTGACTTACAAAGTGTTCACTATTTCGAATGTCCATCGTCCGTCAATACACTGAAATGAAGCGATCTGAAGTACCTTTAATATTTAAATTTACATGTACACGAGAAAGTCACTACAAACATGATACAGACTGATAAAAGGAAGACACTTGGATCAATATCATTTACGTTATCTAAGGACCAATGCTTCTATCGTTTTTTACTTTTCGTGAAAGGGTCAAAATTTGGTATTACTTACAGTATTCAAAAATATTGTACTTTCATGTTATTAATTGAATTTCATTCGTTTCATTGAATTTCATTTATTAAATAAACACACCCTCTGAATGATGAATCAACGCCCTCTGTAAGCGTGATTTAACGTAGCAACTGTCAACATTACTTGACTACGGGTAATATTCCAAAAATATTGACTGCGCGAAATCTATGTCCGTACAGTTCACCATTATTTGTATAAAACCTTCAGCAAAATAAAAAAAAAAACTGCATGGTTTTCTTGGAGTGAAAATTTTCAATGTTACCCTCAACAACATTTAGCATTTATATAATATAGAAAAAAGATGTCACTTACTCTGTTACCTAGTTGCGCTACATAAACAGTTTTTGTTCTAGACGATGTTAAATACTGTCTACTGGATAATAGAAATATGGCAATTTAATCTATGAATTATTCATGCTTATACACTGTATTCAAAATAGTATGAGATTTTAAATCAATTACAGCAATAAAAAGAAATTAAAATAAAGTTATTGTAACAGGTGAATCTTTGCAAATAATTCGAGTAACAAGGGAGGAAAATGATAGCGTAATATCCCATGGACTTGAGCTAAACGAAAAGAATTTGGCCAGAATTTTGATGCACCCTGATGTTAAGGAAAATCCCGTTGTCATTGTGTCCGTTGCTGGGGCCTTCAGAAAGGGAAAATCATTTCTAATGGGATTTTTCCTTAAGTATTTAGAGGCAGAGTCTGAAGTGAGTATAAATGATTTTGAATGATCATATTTCGTGAAAAAGAAATCATGCTAGATCAAAAACCTGTCTGTTTATTTGAATTTTTCCCAAAGGACTGTGAATGGCTACATGGTGATGACGTAATCGAAGGATTTGAGTGGAGAGGTGGTTCAGAGAGGGTAACTTCCGGAATCCATATTTGGAGCAAACCTTTTATTCGTGAGAACAGTTTTGGAGAAAAGGTATTTTTATGTAATGTGATTACATGGAAAGATATGGAATGTTATTTCGAGGAAAAAAATACAATGTTATTTTATACAGGTAACACTTTCTCCGGAGAGAAGTATACCATAAATCATGGCATATTCTAAAAGGTAGACTGGTCGTACATGAACACCAGGTGTGATTTGTATTCTGCATTGCTCTGGACTCTCATAAATAATATTCAAAGATCGTTTCGTTCCTACTGAAGTTACATTATTGTTTACATGTATATGTAACTGCTTTTCTCTTATCAGTAAAGACAAACACTTTGCATAACATTACATTTTTACACATTTAAAACTAAAAGGATGGCAAGTTACATTAGATTAGCATTGTAGCATTCTTATGATTGACGCTCCGTGATCGGGAGGTCGTGAGTTAAAAAATGGGTAGCAACTGTTCCTTCGCCATGGGCTCGGCACTATGAAGTGAAAGTTGCGGGTCCTTCGGATGAGACATTAAAAACCGAGGTCCCGTGTCACGGCAGGCGTTGGCACGAAAAAGATCCCTCACTGCTCAATGGCCCTAAGTGCTGAGTAAAGGTCAAAATTTGAAGCCCTTCACCGGTGACGTCTCTATTTGAGTGAAAAATTCTCGAATGGGACGTAAAACAACATACAATCAATCTTATGATTGGAGCGAATGTTACCTTTTTATAGCCATGAACGCACGCCTTACTATTCCCTAGACCTGTGACCTAAAAAGACTCAGTGATATTAAAAAATACACGAATTAATCAACGTCCAGCCTATCAAGATGAAAGTTACTTATATATTTTTAAGCAAACATTTTTCTTTAAAAATAGATTGCTATATTGCTGATGGACACACAAGGAGTTTTTGACAGCGAATCCACAGTTAAGGACTGTGCCAGTGTGTTTGCGCTCAGCAATCTCATTAGTTCCGTGCAGGTGAGAACTGAGTATAAGAGTATAAGATTCAGTATCTTGTTATATTATCGACTGCATAACTCTTTTATTTACAAAATAATAGACACTGAATCATTCTTATATTTAGGCGCCAATTATTTTCAACCTCAAAGTAATTGTTCTTCTTATCCAGATTTATAACCTTATGCAACAGCTACAAGAAAATGACCTGCAGCATTTAGAGGTACATGTAATGTAATTTTCATTAACATACGATCTAAAAATATTACATTATTTTGTCAATGTTTCAATCTTATCTTTATACCTTAATTGAAATAGTGTAATCTACGGAAGCCCTGGAGCCACATTGACTTACTTGTTATTGCAGCCCGGAGGACCGGGCTGCTCTATACATATAAGTTTAAGTGTTGGTATATGGGGATTGAGGTGGGAGAAGTTATTCAGAATTTAAGGTTTTCTAAACATTAAAAAGATTGTTAATCAGAATGTTCTTTCCCTTTATAAATTACGAGATACACAATATATTTACTTCCATAAAGTGAATCTGTAAAAATATATATGTTTTTCATATTTAATATATAAAGTTGCTTATCATTTACTATCGGAAAAACGACAGATCCCTTTTTTTAGAACATCGAATTTTACTTATCGCATAAAAACGTAAAAATGTACTTTACACAGTTCGTGTTTTATATTCTTAAAGTGAAAGATATTTTTGAAAATAGGTGATGCATGTGTCTGGTTTCAAATTATATTTTATGCAGCCAACATTTACTTGAGGAATTGATAAAGTTTAAAAGGGTATCGTTTTTGTTCGATTTTCATCCGACTATAAGTTTTCAAAATATTCTCGACTATCGTCTCCATCATTTAGACGCATGCCTTTTTCACACATATCGAAGCGGTTTGATGATAAAGACTCATTTCCATTGTTTACTTTATTTATTTCCCGGGCGACAATTGATGGTTACATCAATGTTTTCTTGTGACTTATTTGTTATAACTTATTTGTTGTGACTTATTTGTCGCCAGTTATAACTAAGTGTAACGCAGGTATGGAGAACGAGTAGCTTGGCTTACGTTTATTATTAAAATGATATGTTTAGTCCTAGTTTAACTGTGGTTTTTGATTGATTAATTGTACTCTAACGTCCCGCATAGTTATGATTACTAAATTCTTATCTGTTAATAGCTTTTAACTTTGTTGTTATAATTAATTTTTATTTGTTAATTTTATTTACTATTTCTTGTTACTTAATAGTTATTACTTAATTCTTATTTGCAACGTCCAGTTTTGCATAATGATTAAACACATAAACATAACTACATTATTATATAAACAGAACTACATGTACATTATTATCTTTTCGTTACTAGCTTATTCAAAGGCAAAATATTACTTTCTTCTTTTCTGAAAGTACACGTAGCCTTCATCTTTCACACCACGTTTTTGGGTGAAGTAAACGCGTGATAACAAATTTAAAATAACAAGAATTAACAACTAAGTCATAAGAACTAAGTCAAAACACCTAAGAAGTAAGTCAGTGTCCCTCCAGGGCTTCCGTAGTAATCATATTATAAATTAATTACAGTTTTTCTCTGAGTTTGGAAGACTGGCAGTAGAGACATCAGGAGAAACACTGGCCAACAGATCTGTAAACGCTAAAAAGAATTCATTACTATTTAAATAATGAATGTAAAAAAAAAATCAATACTTGTGCATTAGTTGTATCATTCTGTAAAATTTCGTAGATCTTTGAATTACTGATGCTCTTAAAAAGGTAATTTGCTTTAATTTTTGCTCACAGCGGTTGATATTTCTAATCCGGGATTGGGGAATTCCATATGAATATTCGTACGGAAAAGATGGAGGAACAGCATACATTGTTAAGAAGCTGAAAGTAGGTAAAAAACACTCTGTGGAGGTATTTTACTTCAAGCATCACCGCAAGTTCTCATTCTTCCCTTATCGTTTAAGCACATGTTCAGTAATACATGTATATAAGTATAGAAAGGATCCAACGACAACACAAGTTGATGAACATAATTAGTGTCCATACATTTCATTACTTTAAATTCGAGCTCAAAATCTCGATCGATCGATCGATAGAAAAAAGGTACATGTATTCCCAGGGATCGACGTTAACGGTTGTCCGATTGCCCGGGGAAAGTAAATTCTCAGTTCGAGCAAGTGAAACTGTCAACGTATTTGTGAATGTATCTGATAGAAGCGCATATGGTTTTCTAGCCTGCATTATTTATATATATAACGGTAAACTGAATGCTTGATTTCCGCTGGGAACGTGACTGATTACCGTCTTCCTTGGAAGACGGTATACAGAGTTGAAGTATTTTACAGTCTTCGGACTATACACTTCTTCTCTTTTGTGATTGGTAGAAATTGCATGATGAGAAAATTTTCAATTATTTTATTGGTTGAAATGCTGTTTAAGGCAAGGGAGATAATTTTCTGATGCTCTAATTTTCGTACGACTTCACATTTTTTCAAAATTTTCAATCGTAAAAAAATATGACAAAACGAACAGTGGAAATTGGCAGTAATGAACATGCTAGTTTTTTTTTTTATAGCAATTACCCCCCCCCCCAAAAAAAAAAAAAAACTTTCTATATTTTCATTGTTAACAGAATTGATCTTTATTGCATGCAAGCTTGTATGTATTCTTTTCCCCTTTGTTTTGCACTGTCTTTCTAATCTCGGCAGCACTCAACAACACCTCTGCTGATTCGTACATGTACCTCATCTACATATCACAAAGGTGACGGAATGAGCCGAGGTTTACCGAATGATCTCGGCAACTGAGTCTGTTAACTTTTCCCTTGGTAGGGCTTATGTCAGAAAAAAACTAATGAAGAAATACAAAGCCAAGAAATTTTCAAAAATTATACGGCCTGATAGGTTTAGGTCAGTTTACTGTTTAAGGTTGTTGCTAAAGACGGTAAGCTTTTTGAAAAAGGCTCTACTTGTATTGTTTTTATCTTTGGGGTACCTCGGTAGCGTTGTTCATTCAAAAATCGGGTTCGTTATTCTGTTTAATTTTCTTTCGTGGTAAATACGCTTTATGTTTCCCATACAGAGTTGTCATTCGTTACTCTCCCAGTCACATCTACAATGGCCTCACGTCAAGATTTTTGACATAAAGTAAAAAAAGACGATATTCCAAAGATTGTGTCAAATTCAACTATTAGGTTTAGATGCGTGACCTTGACATTGTTGACATTGACGATAAAAACAGAGCAATAGATACAACATTTGTTTTTCCGGCACTTATATTATGCAGTTTTATTCTTGCTTTACAGTGCAGTTGAGTTGTCAAAATTTCGCTATATTTATATTTCACAGAAATCTTTTGTTTTGTGATACAATTTTCTTAAAAGAAACACATGGTTTTGACTCATTATGCAACTTTAAAGGAAAAACATTAGCACAAACATTAAATAATAATAATGACTTAAAATGATCACACTATTTCTCGTGTTTTTAACACTGTGATATACGCGTGCCAATGACAGAGGTGAATGTATGAACCCATGCAACTTTGTTACCTACTCATTCAGATTATTAGATTATTTATTCAGTAGTACGACGTATCCCGATCAAAATATGTTTGATTCCTAGCAACTGTCTTCTATGGTGGCATATTTCTGCCCCCTACATGCAAGATAAATTATGTTGACATGCAATATAATAATGTAGACATGCGACTTATTTATGTCAACATGCAAAATAATTATGTTGACATGCAAGTTACCAATTTCTTTACAGAATCTAATTTTAATATTGGTAAACTTACTTACTAACGCCATTAAATGACATTATACGAGCAAGATATAACAGGATTATGTAGACATGCGACCTTTTTATGTTAACATTCTAGATAATTATGTAGACATCCGACCTTTTTATGTCAACATGCAAGATAATTATATAGATATGCAACTTATTTATGTCGACATGCAAGATAATTATGTCAACAGCGAGATATGTATGTTTACATGCAACTTATTATCTTCCATTGACATACATTTTAATACCTTTCATGTTAAATATAACTCGCATGTTGACATAAATAATTTGCATGTTGACATAAACATTAAGCTGCATGTTGACATAAATAAGTCGCATGTTAACATAAATAAGCTACATGTCAACATAATTCTGTTGCAGCTTGCTTGTATGATGTCGTATACTGGCGTTAGTAAGTAATTTTACCAACATTAAAATTAGATGCTCAAAAACGATTGGTAACTTCCATGTCAACATAATTATTTTGCATGTTGACATAATTAACTCGCATGTTGACATAATTTTCTTGCATGTAGGGGCATAGTCTTCCATAGCCACCATAGTCTTCCTTAAACGTTGTTTAACAGTAATCTCTTAAAATCAAAATTCACAGTCTCCTATCAAAAATATTTTTTAAAAAATGGATTTTATTCTAAAGGAAACGGGGGATATTACTGCATGCATGGCAGTGTGAGTTTACAGTTTACATTGACAAGGACAATGGTATTCAGTAAGGTATTCAATTTATAACGACCTTATTTTTTACCTAATAAATGAATGGTATAATATTTTTAATCATGGTAGCATACTGAAGGTGTTTTCAAATAAAAATACTCCACCAAAGGTAAATACAAAATTTTGGTTATAGTCCAATTAATACCTACAATTTTACATTGAAGTCTATGGGCAACACATACGAAATTAAGATATTGTAAAAAGTAATTTGAAATTCGTACAAATCTCTTGGTGAAAATATGCACAAACTTTCTCTTTGTCAAAATATGAAATAAAAAGAATGATTTACCACAGATATTTGACAAAATTAAAATTTTCTTCTTTTCATCAAGGGCAGATAACTCTTCAAAAACGTTTAAGTTGCAAAATGGTCAGCTTCTTATATGTAACCAGTCATGTGAATTTGGTTCATTTCACTTTCATCGTTATCTAGCATAGATTTTTAACAAGTTTTAAATGATTCAAAATTGTTCAATATCCCTTCATTATACATTGATGAATACCTTAATGTATAAAGATTGCATCGACATTTTGTTCTGGCACCTCAACTTGCCAAATAGACAATAGTGTATCTGGTCACACTTTTTCCTATCAGAACATTACCAGTAACCAGAAGTCTCTGATGAGACTGTAGCTCTACTGGTCTGTACATATAACAAAGGAAAAGTAGCACTTGGATTTGAAACTTTGCAACACGCAGCAATAAATAGAATAATGTAACTTAATGTAGTCTACTTGTGCGCCAAGTTATATTGAAATCAGACCAAAACTGAAGGAGGAGTAGCCTTTTAAAGAAATTTCACAGAAATTTCTATTTTTAGTAACCATGGCAACACCGTTCATCGAAATCAAAACCGATGCAATAAATTAAGTATTTTAGTGTAGTCTACTTGTTTGCCAAGTTATTTCAATATCAGACCAAAACTAAAGGAGGAATAGCCTTTTAAAGAAATTTCACAGAAATTTCTATTCTTAGTAACCATGACAACACCGTTCATCGAAATCAAAAACCGATGCATTAAATTATGTATCTTAGTGTAGTCTACTTTTGTTCCAAGTTATATTGAAATCAGACCAGAACTGTAGGAGAAGTAGCATTTTTAAGAAATTTCACAGAAATTTCTATTTTTAGTAAACATGGCAAAACCATTTATTGAAATCAAAAACCGATGCACTAAATTATGTATCTTAATGTAGTCTACTTGTGTGTCATGTTATATTGAAATCAGACCAAAACTGTAGGAGGAGTAGCGTTTTAAAATAATTTCACAGAAATTTCTATTTTAGTAACCATGGCAACACCGTTCATCGAAATCAAAAACCGATGCACTAAATTATGTATCTTAGTGTAGTCTACTTGTTTGCCAAGTTATATTGAAATCAGACCAAAACTGTAGGAGGAGTAGCGTTTTAAAATAATTTCACAGAAATTTCTATTTTTAGTAACCATGGCAACACCGTTCATCGAAATCAAAAACCGATGCACTAAATTATGTATCTTAGTGTAGTCTACTTGTGTGCCAAGTTATATTGAAATCAGACCAAAACTGTAGGAGGAGTAGCATTTTAAAGGAATTTTACAGAAATTTCTATTTTTAGTAACCATGGCAACACCGTTCATCGAAATCAAAAACCGATGCACTGAATTATGTATCTTAGTGTAGTCTACTTGTGTGCCAAGTTATATTGAAATCAGATCAAAACTGTAGGAGGAGTAGCGTTTTGAAAAATTGTTTACAGACAGACAGACAGACAGACGGACGGACGGACGACGGACACCTTACTATCGCATAAGCTCTTCTGGTCTCTGACCAGTAGAGCTAAAAATGAAGTTATTTTATTCTTTCTTAATTTTGGGCAACCAAGTTTTGCATTCGGATGAGTCAAAATTTGAGTTTACTTGCCCGATGGGCAAGTGAATCTGAAAGTTAGTGTCTATCCCTATTCACTGTGCACACAATGTGCCTTTACATGTAGGTTTTTGCTACAATTTATCAATCTTGACGTATATATCATTTGGTACCTTAGGTACACCAAAGTCAACACGAAGAACATCAGCGACTTCGCAGAAATTTGGATGCCTATTTTCCCGATATTGGGGGGTTTCTTTTGCCTCATCCTGGCAAAGTTGTTGTAACAAGCAAGACTTTCAATGGAAAGGTGAAAGGTATCATTAGGCATGCGTTGCTACACATAGCAAACGCGCTTAAAAGTGATTCAATCTATTGTATATTATATATGTTTGAAGATAATAACCTATTTGTTGTGCTATACCTAAGAATGAATTATCCCTAAAATTTGAAAATCGTCAAACTTTGCAATATATACATGTAGTAAATTATCTAGTTTAGAAAGTTAGTCTTTTTATGGCTATTTTTGAATAAAGAATGAATAGTAAGTTGTTTTAAAATAATCTTTCAACGTTTTTTTTTAGATATATGTCTATTTTTTTTTCTCTCTCTCTCTCTCTCTCAGAAAACGTTTGCAAGCAAATATAATTTCTCAGAAAATTCTTGCTAAATTTCAGATATCGATGAAGAATTTATCGATTATGTAAAGAAGCTAGTTCCATACATACTGTCGAAGGAAAAACTGGTCACAAAAAGGATCAATAGTGCGGATGTGAAAGGAGAGGACTTGTTAAATTATATCGAGGTAAGTCGATCCAGGTAGACCAACTTTGTCCTGGCGAGGGTAACGTACAATATATCTCCACAATAAAGCCAGTTGTTAAATGTTCTGCTATACTCATGCTTTTGAATTTCAAAATGATTACAAAAAGAGGATGAAAATCGTTAGAGGCTTTTACATACATGAACTTATTGCAGTCTCAAGGTACATCTTAATAACGCTCTATATCTCTTATGGTTTGTTTTTAGAATCGGTATATTATAAAGAAAATACATGATGATTCCATTATCATTTCATTTTTAATCTAATATACTGATATAACAATACGAATAAAGTTTTTTTTAATACAAGTAGTTTTTTAAATGTTATTCTTCATTTCAAATAAATAATATCTAGATTACTTTTCATATCTTTCTGCCAATTTATTATTAATAAAACCTTGACTTTTATTCATAAAGGCATATGTCTACTCTCTGAAAAATGAAAAACTCCCAAGTCCGCAGACGGCTTTTGAGGTATGTTACTTACATGTGTTTCTTGAAACGGAAAAAACACGAAAAAAAAAAAGACTCAAAAATTATTTTGCCTCACTTTTTAGGCTACAGCTGCGGTGGGGAGACGTTTAGCAGTAGCTAAGGCCCTGAAATTATACAAAACCGAGATGGAAAAGGTAAATAATATCATTATTCATTAAGACTGTATATATATCATTTAAAGGTTGAAAAAATAAATTTAAAAGATGCACTAAGTGAAGTTAATATTTTAGGTTTGTAATCTACAAGTCGGAGAGTTTCTTCCCGAAAGCGAGTTAGAGAGTCATCATGAACGATTTAAAGTAATAGCAAGAGAGGCACTCAAAGATACACCAAGAATGCAAGTGATGGAGCAAGAATTTGAATGTATAGCACAACTTGACTCTCAAATCGAAGATGCATACACCTACTTCAGAAGCTTGATAGCACAACAGAACAAAAACGCTATTCTTAAACAAATGGCAGATGCTGCTAATGCAGCTAAACGAAAAGCACAGGCAGCACTTGCTGCGACAGGAACAGCTGTATTCACTGCAGGGGCAGCTCTGGTGGCAATTCTTCTTAAGAAATAGAAAACATGATTGGAGAGAAAAATGCCAATTTGCTGCATACGCATACTTATTTCGAAATATTTTTGTATGATTGAAAGACTATATACTAATCAAATATGTTGGTACAAAAAAATGGATGCATTCATTTAGATGCCAATTTGATTAAAGCTATAAATGCTATAATTTGCGTACTAAGTTAAATAATGAAGTTGGAAATAGATTTACTTTATCAGAAATTAAAGCTAGGACAATGCTCTAAATTGCACAGTGGCAATAGATGCCAAATTCTTACTGTCTTCCTTGATTGTATTCAGAGTTGAAGTATTCCATAGTCTTCGGGCTTTGCACTTTCTTTTTTTTTGTGATTGGAAGAAAATGCATGATGTAAAGAAATGCTGTTCAAGGCAAGGGAGGTGATTTCCTGTTAACAATTTTTCAAAATTTTCAATCTTAAAAAAAATCGTCAAAAGAAACAAAAGAAAATAGCAGTGAAATAAAGAGGACACTTATTTTTAATTGCAACAATTACACTTTTTTTCTTAGTAGCATGCAAATCTTAAAATTCCTTTTTCTTTGTTTTGAACTGTCTTTCGTATGATAGAGCTAATGTGTGTAATTTAGAGTAGCTGCAGAATTGTAGCTTTATGGTTTTATATTTAAATCTTTGACCAAAGACTAAAAATATAAAAGCATGACGCTACAGTTCTGCAGGTAAATTTAGCTAAATTTAGAGCTGATGAAGAAATACGTGGCAGAGAACTTTTCAAGAATAGTAGAAGGCCCGATGGGTTACGTCAGTTTACTGTTTAAACGGCAATTCTTTTTTTTCAAAAGAAGCTGTAACTGTAATTATTTATTTTCCTGCCAAGAAAGAAATGCGTCTATTTGTACACGGGAAAATGCTACAGCTGTACTTTCAGATGGCGTCGAGAAAAAACAAGGTAGGCTGTTCTGTATACAGTTGACTTTGACATGTATGGCAAATGTCTTACTCTTAATAATTATAATACCTTAAAGCAACTGGTATTGGCCATCTACGCCGTAATGACAGATATGTAATTTTTTTTTCAAAATTGTACATAAAGTATAACGTCCATGTACGTCGTCTTTTACGATTCCCGCGGACTGTGTGTTTAATTTTGTTTACCCACTTCTTTCGTCAATGTTCGTGAAAAGGAAGCAATTCTTGATTGCAGATCTTGCTTTGTTATAACAATGATTTATTTTAAATTAGTAAAATTTTGTGGAAAGTTTTTTTTATTACGCAACATGTGTCAATTTTTTTTTCACATAAAACACTTGTATACTTGACGCTTGTATAGCTTTAAATTTTTTCTGGTCTTTTACACAATTTTCAAAATCTAGTACTTGCATAACTGTGTTCTGGGTATATGGAAAGTTGGTAAATATTCTTTTCAATATTTATGCTTTTATCAAAATACACTTGAACATCGCCATACAAAGCAATCGGTGCAAACAGTGACTCTTTTATTGGGTTTTTAAATAATTTTGTTTGAATTTTCAATCCACGAACAAATTCGGGATGCGATATGAGTGACTGTACATATATCATAGTTAATTTTTATTGAATTTGAAAAGAACAGATTTATCCCAAAGATTATAAAATACATGCATAAAAATACTTTTTAATCTATTCAAATGTATTTATTATGACATGTATTATTTTTGGTGTATGAAGTTGAATATATAACCTTTTACGTTTGAATTGTCAGCAAGAAAAAATCCGAAAAATCTGTAAACAGGGTTTACTAAATTGACCTGTTAACAGTGATCATAGCGAGAGAGACGAGGCAAAGACGAAGAAACTCGCATGCACAGTATATTTATTTAATTTGTCTTCTTATCAGGGATCGACACTAACTTTTAAACCATAGTTGCCCGCAGGGCTAGCAATTACTAATTTCGACTAGCCCTGATCATGAATTAGTTGTCCAGCAGACAAAGGCTGCTGGCAGAGTCGCGAAGCGACAAGGGGGGTAGGTGCTGGAGGTGGTATCCCCCTCCTGCTGGTGGGGGTACGGGGGGCCTCCCCCAGAAAATTTTAAAAGTAGAGATACCAAATCCTGCATCCTGGCTACATTTTTGTGTAAAATTATATGTCATTACATGACTGAACAAAAGACGTTTTTCTCATTGAAAAATTCCACATTTACAGTCATTTAGGGTATTCCGAATCACCTTTTACATTTTGACTGCAAACAATCTGATTAAAAAGTTCGCAACTGGTTATTCTGTATTAAGGAAAAGTCAAGTATATTGAAAAACCAAATCTACAAGGCAAGTCCATCTTCGATACAGTCAAAAATGATAATAAAAAATGTATGAAAATGAATTTAACTAATTTGATAATGTTTAGTTAAGATATCATAAACAAAGTATTATTATTTCTGTATAACATGAACGTACTGTAATTGTAAATCTAGCATTTTAATATACGATTGTACTTTGGGCCGGTGGCCTGTAATACTCAATGAATATCTTGATTTGAAATTGAATTGATAAAAAAATCAACACTAACCAATATATACTGGGGCCAATCTTTAATAGCTGTTGCTTTTTCATACTTTAACTTTTATATTCCTTGCATTTAAAGAAAGCTACGTGTTACACATTCAGCAAGTGTGCGTGTGCAATTTGTTCGGTTGCGGTCATGTACACACGTGATTCGAAATAACCCAAGCTGTAGGGGAATACAAATGCAGTAATTAATTTTTTTTTAATTTTGAGGTGTTGTCAAAAACAATAAATGCTCATGGAAGCTTTTAAAATTGCCGTTTTATCAATCTGTGAATTCCTAATGCATCGTGTTTCACCCACCAACAATGCTACGACATCGATGAGGAAAACCATACAACGTTTTCAACACGAATATTTCTTTAATAAGGATAATTTAATCATGCAATTAATTTGCTAATTTTTTAATTAACACGTGATGTTTATCTCTTTAATTTTTTTTAGTTTTGTATCTGATAAGTCTTTTGATAACTGGTTGGTTGTCACACATGTGGATGTGTCGTGCTATGTACAGCGATAAGGTAAGTTACCGAGAGTCGCGAAACATGGGGTGATTCGGAAAGTAACGAAATAGGGACTTGTGCATTTTTAAATTAATTTTTACAAGCTCCGAGTGAGTATTTGGTAATAAATTGCAGTAGCCCTGCAGGACAAGCTCGAAGACATGTTTAGTAGCCCGACCTCAATTTTCAGGTGTCCCGGGCTAACGGACTACCGTTAGTGTCGAACCCTGCTTATCACACTTATTAATCAACTTTATTTAAAAATTCAAAATCAACGGCCCGCGTGGCGCAGTGGTTAGAGCGTTCGCTCTAGAGTCGCGGAGTAAGGAGTTGATCTTTACGTTGCGGGTTCGAATCCCACTGTGGGACGTGGAGACCGGTCCTTCGGTCCCGTATCGCAGTAGGTGCTGGCACGAAAAAGATCCCTCACTGCTCAATGGCCCTAAGTGCCGAGTATAGGTCAAAATTTGCAGCTCTCCACCGGCAAGTGGTGGCGTCTCCATATGAGTGAAAAATTCTCGAGAGGGACGTTAAACAATAAACAAACAAACAAACATCAAAATCAGAGAAATCTAATGTTAATTCATTTTATCTTATAATCTTAGGTCAAATAATAAAGTTAATAAGTGACTGAATCATCATTGAAATCAGAAGGGGACCGGGGTAACAGACTGGGTAATTGATAATAATACATATAGTTTGAAAAAGTGACGGGATCTTTACTAATTACCCTTTCTTCTATAATCATAAACTGTTATAAAAATTGACAAACACAGCCATAAATCAGCAAGTGTCTTTGTGATTTAAAATTTCTATTTTATTTTCTTACTAACATCATTACATCACGTAAACCCACACCGTAGTCCGTTTATAATACGTGTATTGATAAATTCATCATTTAATAAATTTTTATTCTTAATTTAAATAAGAACAAGTTCATACTACTATGGTAATTGAATAGCGTGTAAGATTTTTTTCCCAGAATTTTCCTTATTATCCCGCATTTGTCGCTGATAATTTCGTTAAAAGTACAGTTTCTCATCTCTCTAGATCAATGAATTGTTGCATAATATGTCTTAATATTCCATCCTGTAACTAAAAATAATATTTTCTTATGAAAATGATGACTCCTTTCCTGACGAAATCTTGCTTCTACAGTACTTGGTCTGTAAGATGTACATTTGTTGTGGGGTAGATAAACTGCTGACCAGGAGCTCCGAACTGATGTCCAGGGTACCCGTAGTGTTCCACCATATTATATTGTTCGGCAGATGAGTAGGGATGTGTGTGGTGCAATCCAGGGGTAGTGTTTGCTGTTGAATGCATTTTTTAATCAATCGATTACAAATTAATTTAGTATATGTACATGCATATTTACATGTACAACGCAATATACGCAGAGTCTTTGAAATATTTAAACAATAACAAATGCTTTCTTTGGTTGTTAGTACGGGAATTAATGTTGCAGCTGTTGCAGAAAAAATACATAACCCATGTTTGACCTAATTTTCAAAGATTTTAACTTGGTGATTACTTTGGAATGATATATGATATTCATATTTGACACAATATGCCATAAATAACAGCATCTTATCCACTAAGACACCGAAAGCGAGAGACCACAATTCATTTAATGTGCTTGTTACCCCTTTACCTCGACATTCATTTTTGACCTAATTTTCAGAAAATTTTACTTTGGTGATTACTTTTGAATGACATATGATAGAGCATTCATATTTGATTTCGGTGTCTTAGTGGATAGGGTGCCATTATTTATGGCATATTGTGTCAAATATGAACGCCCTTTCATAATTATGTCATTCTAAAGTAATCAGCAAGTCAAAATTTTTGAAAATTAGGTCAAACATGAAAGTCAAGGTCAAGGGGTAAAAAAAACATCATGTTCGGAAACATCTTGTCACAGGTAATGCATATGTCAAATATGAAAGCCATATCTCCTCTTCTCAATCAGAAATTATGAGGAAAGATAATATTTTTGAAAAGTAGGTCAAACTTCAAGGTAAAGGTAACAGAGTCAAAAATCA